CACTTAGAGGGTCTGTGTGGCAGTCATGACTGATTCCGTTTTTGCTTATCCAGTTTATTTCAAAATATTCCCGTTGTTAAAGCTACCTGCTATAATTTAAGGTTTCATATATTCTATATGAATGTGTATGTGAAACATTAAAGACCACAGAAATATCATGTATTTCGAAATTACAGTGAAACTTTCTAATAGCCACTCCTGGGCATAGCAGTTTGGGGAGTTATAGTGGGATGGATAATGAAAGTGCAATTGCCAAAGGGGAGGTGGGAACAGCTCTTTAAGCTGTCGTAACCAACAAAAAAGAACCTTTCTTCCCCTTGAAGATATTCATTGTTAAGTTGTGGGTGAACATATCAGACGACACAGCTCTTGTTTATTCACAGGCCAGAACAGAACTGAACTGAAGGGTTCAGCCAGCCTGCTTATATAGAGCTCCACTAGAACGCAACAGTAACCATTTTCTGTAACTATCCAATCACTGAACGTCACTTTCAGTCCCTTATTTGCATATGTGGACCTGAGTGAAAACTATCTACAGTATCCCCCTGCTGGCCCAGGGTGAGAACTTCAGTACATAACATTAATTGCTTTGCTTACAAATGGTACATTGTTGCCTGCTGTTACAAGGTGGTAGCTTTAAAAAAAAAAATTGCAAAGGAGGCGTAAAAAGTGGTCTACTGGCAGATTTAAAGAGAGCCAATATTTTGGCCAAACACTTTGATTATAAGAATATACATGCTATGCAGGTGGTGCTGTAGTCTAAACCACTGAGTCTCTTGGGCTCAGCGGTTGGGAAAATTTGATCCAGGTGGTTCATATCGTATAATGTAAGCATGAACCTAGAAGAAAAAATGGGCATTGACTCGTCCTTTCTGAATATAATGACATATGGTTTCTCCCCACCACCACCAAGCGGATGGTAGGAACTCATATGGGATGGTGGTTAAGGGCAAGATAGAAAGTCTTCAGTTGAACTCTTGAGATGCACATGAATCTCATGAGCAGGGATGAGTGTGACATGTTTAGCAGCCTTGTGGTACAGAATCCAACTGCCGTGACCTGTATTGGAAGTATTGCAGTCTCAAATCCCTGAGAAGTTCCTCTGGTGGTGTAATAGGCACTTGGAATGAAAGAGCTGCAGAACTGAAGCCATCTGTCCTCATTTTAGCAATCCAAGGTCTAAGAAAGACGTAGCTAATTAGAATGCTTTACAACCTCAAAACAAAGGCGGAGGATAACCTAAATAAGCATGCTCTTGTATTATGTACAAGCTGTCTGAAGGTCAACAGTTTCCAGCTTTGTAGACCAAGAGAAGAGAATGGCATCGGTGCTGTGCCACAATTACACAAAAAAAGGAACTGGCTGTTAGTCTGCTACTAGACATATTTCCCCAGTGATTGCATTTTATGGGCATCCTCTGTTCCACCATCAAGTCTTGGAATAAATAAAATATTTATAAATTTCATAAATATTTATAGAAGCCTAAATAAGTAGCAGAAGTCTTTGGAATCTCTTTCCAGAGCAAAACAAGACGTTTTAAAGGGCCTGAATGTATGGCTGAAATGAGACCTTTCTATATTGTACTTAAAATGCTCAACAACCTTGGATGACTTGGAGATATAACGCTACCCCATTCTGCCTCACTGTGAAACTCGTCTTTATTGCCATGATGCATAGTTAGTGGAGATTTCCAGACTTTATTCCTTCCATTTGCTGCCTACAATTTTCTCCTGAGTATATTGCAAACAGATTCATTTAACCACAGAAATAGACATACAATAAGATGATTTCACCTCCTGAGAGCAACCGTTCCCTTTGTGGAATTATATCCCGTTTGAGAGTGCATGCACCAGTTGTTCTAACGTGAAAATAAATTATGTGCTGTAGCAACTGGTGTTTTGCTGTGCTTGCAAAAGGCTGCTGTTCTAATTTGAATAGACAAGTCCAATTCATTCGTCAGTTGAGCTGCTACATTTGCAATGGATAAACTCATAATGTTAGTACAGCAAGCAAAAATGGCACTATTATTTAATATTCCTGTATTTATTTTTCTAGGCTTCCTGCTTCTGGCAATAAAAAAGATTTTGTAATTACTGATATGGGGATATATAGCCAAATGAGCTTATGCTGAGAAGACACTTCACAATTGTCTCCCTTTTCTACTTGATGACCCCATGTCAGAAGTTTGTAAATTATGTGAAATTAAGTGCATCTGCTCATTGTAAACTTATCCTGTATTCGGTATAAAAATATTTGCTGGTCAGCATTCGAATGCCAAACGATGGTTAAGTATTGAATGCATGACCTTCCAAATTTGTGTGTGCAAATCCTCTAGCACAGGGATGTCCAACAGGTCGATCGCCATCTACTGGTAGATCCCCGTGAGGTTTTGGTAGATCACGGTCGATCTCTGTCTCCCTTTCCTTAGCGTCGCTAAAACTGTCTCCTGCCCCACCCCCTCGCCCTGCCCTCCATTGTTGTATCACCTCTGGAAGGAAAAACGGAGCTTTCTCTGTGCTGCTGTTTTGATCCATAGCAATCTTTTTGTAAGTGACCTTACCCCTTTGTCCCTTGCCTAAAAAAACAGGGGTCAACAACTTTGAGCTGAACCCAAAAAAACTGGGGGTAGATCACTGCCAGTTTTGAATTCTGAAAGTAGATCACAGTCTCTTGAGAGTTGGCCTAGCATAACTACGAGGAGAAGATTTGAAGCTTTCACTTCTCTTTTCAGTTATCTGCAGTTACTCATTATGTCTGAACTCAGACCAACTACGGCTCATGTTATCTATGGATTAGGGAAACAAGCCACTTCAAACATGGATAATTAGAGGCTAATTTGTGGTCTTCCAGATGTTATTGGACACCATCTTCCATCAACTCCACCCAACATCGTCAGTGTGATGGGAATTATAGTCCCAACATCCAATCGGCTACATGCTAGACACGCTTTATAACACAGTTCCCATTTCCATCCAAGTTATTATTTGGTAATATCATATTTAAGGGGGCACATCGCATGACCTAACAAGAAACTAAAGTTCAGCATATGAGATCCTGAAAAGAAGTATTTCAGTTTGCAGTTGTGTTCCCCAAATTTGAAGAATAAGACAATGTACACAGATAGTAGATCCTGAGAAGTGTGTGTTTTCAAAAACAATAATATTTTTTCTAGGTCTATGCTTACATATATAATATGAACCACATGGATCAAATTTTCCCATGTTCTCGGGACTCTGTTTTTTAATAAAAAGAAAAAGAAAAGGTGTAAAGTTTATTCTTTTGTCCTCCTGCCCGCATTATTCAGTTGCCTGAATGGGAGAAAAAGATGGTGTTCCAGGCATGAGATCTTCAAACATGGACTTTTCCCCCCTCCACACACAAAACTAAGAGAAACACACCCTATCCAGTTCTACAGTCCCTGGCGATTGAGACAATGTACAGTTATCAGATCTCTAAGCTCCGTCAAAAGGATGTGTAATAACTAATAGTTCAAAAGCCTCTTTCCTTAAGAAGAGATTTGGTGTCTTGGGGTTTGGGTTGGATAGTTCTATCTGTTGCCTACAAATCAGAGTTCTTCATTATCCTTTAAAGGTGGGAGAGTATAGCAATGGCAAATCAGCAGATGCTTTAGTATACAGTGCATGTATCTCGCTCTGGTATCCTTTGACATGGATATAACTGAAGGAGAGAGAACACTATCAACATGTCATGCCGTGATTTAGCAGTATGACTACCATTAATGTCAAGGCAAGTTGAACAGCTAATGAGCAGTTCTTTGAAAACATATCCTAGAGTGTCCTCAATAAAGCCGAGGGTATTGAGCCATCTGCCAGTGGTGCACATCAAGAAAGCCTATCTAAAGTACGCTTCGTGACTTGCTTTACCACTGAACATGATTTTTACAATGAAGTCTACTGAAAGCACCGATACATGTTAGTTTCATTGTGTGCAAGTAAGTCTGGCAAGCATCCCAGTGCTCAGTGTAAAAAATAATCCCACCAGAATAGATGGAAAATTAAGGTAGGAAGGGAAGTCAAAGGTCATCCAGTTTAGCCTTCCTGCTAATGCAAGAAATTCACTACTGATGTTTAAGCCTTCTTAAAAATCTGTAACAAAGGACAATGTAGTCTCTTCCATAGCTGGAACAGCTTGTAACATCAAGAAGTTCTTCCTAATGTTGACTTGAAATTTATTTTCTTGTAATCTGAACCCACTGGTTTAGGCTCTACCTTTTGTTACAGCACTTCAGATATCTGAAATAGCTATCATATCGCCTCTTAATCACTTTTTCTTTAGGCTACATATACCTGGTTCCTTCAACTTTTCTGTATAGGACTTGGCTTTCAAACCTCTTACTGTCTTTGTCACTCTCCTCTGGGCATTTTCCATTTGTTCGCATCCTTATGTTTGTTTGTCAGTATCCTTATAAAACTGTGGTATAAAAGGTAAAGGACCCCTGGACGGTTAAGTCCAGTCAAAGGTGACTATGGGGTTGTGGTGCTCATCTCACTTTCAGGCTGAGGGAGCCGGTGATTGTCTGCAGACAGCTTTCTGGGTCATGTGGCCAGCATGACTAAACCGCTTCTGTTGCAACAGGACACCGTGTCGGAAGCCAGCGTGCATGGAAACACCTTTTACTTTCCCACCACAGCAGTGCCTATTTATCTAGATGCCCGGGTGTGCTTTCAAACTGCTAAGTTGGCAGGAGCTGGGACAGTGTAGTGGGAGCTCAGCCCATTGCAGGGATCCAAACTGCCAATCTTCTGATCGGGAAGCCCAAGAGGCTCAGTGGTTTAGACCACAGCTTCACTTGTGTCCCAAATAAACAAGCACACAGTCACTGTTAGGTCCACCCACCATTGTGAGGCTCAAAGCAATGAAGATGATGCCTCCTCAGCTGTTGCCATTGGCTGTGGGTTTCTTGTGATGTCACAAAAGCCCTTGGTAACTGAGTGGATATAAAGGCAGGCCAAGGGGGAAACCCTTGTCTATTTCCAGCAGGACACACCTGGCAATGGATGTGACATTCAGCACTGCTCAGGTTTCTTCCATTTGGAGGAGGCAAAGTGATGAATGGAAGGAGGCAATCCTCTGGCAGTGGGATGCTAGGAAGTGATAATAAGGCAAGTTTGCTTGCTTGAAGGCTGCTGGTATCTGTGATTAGAAGCTGGTGGACGTCTCGTGATGGACCTAACAGTAGCTTCTGGTGCAATGGGACACTGTGACGGAAACCAGAGAACTTGACACAGGTGAGGTCTGACTAAAACATAATAGAATGATACATCTGCATCTTGCAATCTTGACACTAGCCTTTTGTTTGTCTTCTAAATCATTGTATGGTACTACTGACTACTAATTTGTGGTCTAGATCCTTTTCACATGCACAGCTGTCAAGCCACATGCATCACATCTTAGATTTATGTATCTGATTCTCCCTACCTAAGGAGAGAATGTTACCTTAATCTCTGCTGAATTCATTTTGTTAGCTTCAGCCCCGTTCCCTGTCCTGTCGAGATAATCTTGAATTCTGTTTGTTGTCATTTGCAAATTTGATAAACATCTCCTCTATTCCTTCATTCAGGTAATTTATAGTGATGCTAAACAACACAGAAGCACAGAGCAGAGCTAACTTGACGCGAGGAAAACTTTTACAGTACTTTGAATCTGCATGAAGCAATTATGCCTATGCTTGCACTTAACCAAAAATGTTAAATGTGTGAAATATGTAACCGTTCGTCTGCACTGGAGAGCTGACAAGCTGAACTGTGAACTGAATTGTGAAAGGCCATGCAGAGTTGGCAGAAACTGGAAGAAGCAAAAGGAGAAGTGCAATGTGCAGTTGAGAGAGGTCAAGGTAACAACGGAGGAGTAATTAAGCTGGATAGTCAGGGGTATTCTGAAAGTTTGGTAAAGTTCACACCTTTGATCCATTTGAAGAGGAGGATGACTTCCTCCTACCCAGAGGCTTTACAGAGCCATTTTATGCAGAACAGGTGGTAAAGGTAAAGGACCCCTGACAGTTAAGTCCAGTCGCGAATGACTCTGGGGTTGCGGCGCTTATCTCGCTTTACTGGCCGAGGGAGCTGACGTTTATCCGCAGACAGTTTTTCCGGGTCATGTGGCCAACAGGACTAAGCCGCTTCTGCCAAAACCAGAGCAACACACGGAAATGCCGTTTACCTTCCCACTGGAGCGGTACCTATTTATCTACTTGCACTTTGATGTGCTTTCGAACTGCTAGGTTGGCAGGAACTGGGACTGAGCAACAGGAGCTCACCCATTGTGGGGATTCGAACCACTGACCTTCTGATTGGCAAGCCCTAGGCACAGTGGTTTAGACAACAACGCCACCCACTACAGGTGGTAGTTTAAGAAAATAAGTAGTATGAGATTATCAACCACTTTTCTTTTTTTCCCCCTTTTTTTGCAAGAACAGGAGATAGAAGGTTGTAGCATTAGGAAAGTAATGGCCACTTACCCGGTCCAAGAGTGGGCAGCACTTGCGACCCAGCAAGGTGGCTCCTCCCCCGCCCCCATGGAGCCATGCCATGATTGTTTGGGCCGTTGGTCCCTTCCCTTGGCTGCCGCAGTGCTCACTGGGTTCCTGCCAGGCCCTGTTTGATTTTGGGCCAATCCGTGGTGGCTCAGGGGGCAGGGCTTGTAAGCTTTCCACTCTGGTCCACTTCCAGGGAATTAAAAACGGGCCGGCATTGCTCTCAGCAGCACAAAAGTTGTTTTGTCCTTTTATTCACCATTGGTAGCCTGGCTCCCAGGGGACCAGGTGCTGAGACTGGGTACACAAGGGGTTTATAAAAGGGGAAGGGGAAAAGCAGAAAGTAAGCAACAGAAAGCAAGCACAATTAGCTCCAGTTGTGTCAGTTGAAGACCAGGCATTATCTGCCTGTCCCATTGTCGAAGTGACATCCTAGACAGTTGGAAAAGAACCATTTTTGCTTGGAGGACTGGCCGCCCTCATTTGCCGAAGGCTGCATTTAGAGATCTTTGAACAGTGTCCTTTGTACAGCTAATCTTATTGATATAAAAAAATCAAACTACTCTATTCTTCCAAAATAGGTGGCATCCTGTTCACTTTCCCCCATGATTGCAAGGTTTTGACAAATAAACAGTTGCAATTTTCTAATGTTTACTGTCCCATTGAGCTACGGTAATGGCTGTTTTACTCTTTCAGAGTTGTGTTATAACAGCTTTGCATTCAAATAATGTGAATCTAATCATGTCCTTAATTGCTCCCTCCCAAGTCAAACAGTGTAAATAGCATTCATTTTGATGTTCTAACCATTTTTTGCCCGTCTCAAAATCTCACTACCTATAGATACTTCCACCTCAGCTGAATGTAAGTACCCCATTAACTGCAGCCCCTCCAGACTCTGGTGACATTTTACTCAGCATGTGTGTTATTTTCACTTGGTATAATAATATCTGTGGGTTATTTTTAATATGTTCTCTCTGATAGATGTAGATGTGGATTTTATTAGTGATGGATTTCTGGGGCAGAATTCTTTCCTAATGTCACTCTATCATTATAATGAGCAAAATAATGAAATCATGTCTCTGTGGGGAATAGTACTGCTATTTGTTGTGTTATCAATTGAATCATGGCTTCTTAACCTCATTTTCCTACATTTTCAAAGTTGTAAACTGTAAAGCTGACAGAAGTCCAAAATCCTTTTGCCTCAACTGACTTTCTCTATTGCAGTTGGTCATCATATTTAAAACACCAGTTATTGCAGCACTGTAATGATCCCCCCCAACATTTCCTTATTTTTGAAAAGGATGTATCTTTTATTTTAGTATATATCACATAATATGGCACTAAGCAACATGGCACAATTCTATCTATTCAGAAGAAATCCCATAGTTAATATACATTTATCTGTTATAGTGGGCTTTTGTATCCTACATTTTATGTCATGGCACGTGAGACTAAAGCATATAAAATAGTTATTGATCAGTGTCAGAGACTTGGTAAGAGATATCATGTTAAAGAGGTATTCTATGGTCTAAAGAAGAGTTTGGAGGATATGTCAAATGGAGTCCTTGTCTGTCTGACACTCATTTAAGTGAATCTGTGGATCAATTTCAATGAGGTCATGTTCCCCACTGAAGATGTGTTAAGCAGCTGAATAGTGTCAAACTTCTCAGCTGCTTAGAATTGTAGGATATTTGCATTACCAGCATTAAGCAACCAATCAGTTACATTCAAGGGTAATACATGAAATAGAAGTTAGCTGCAAGTTCCCAAGTTGGTTGAATGTGATTTGCTTTTCCCTGTGTTGCAAGAAATGAATTCAGTTCTACTACTTGTGCTCAGAAGGCTAGAATACTGTGCTTTACATTCATGGACTTCCAAGTATAGAATGGGGATGGGGAAAATGCAACATTTCTCATGTAGTTCAGCAAACCGTAGCTGTTTGTTCATTTGTTTTTTTAAAAAAATGGATATCCAGCATGGTTGAGATGAACCAGAATGTGACCAGGACATTGGAGGAAGAGGTTTTCCCCACATATTCTAATTCTGTTACTATTGGTCATGAACTATCACCATCACCCAACACATTTCTTATTTGTTTATTATTATTATTATTTTTATGATTGTCAGTTTTATACATTTCACTAATTTTACAATCATTTTAACATTTCAAAACTCAAGTTTCTTCCCCCTCTTTCTGTGGTTCCTTAAATTTGTTTTTTATATTTTCTGCATATTCCAAATTAACTTATTTTACTCATTTATTCATCTACTTTAAATATATACTCTTCTAGAACTGCATGTTATTACAATAATCCTGCCAATGTTCTTATCTGTTTACAGTTTATCTGTAAATATTCAATAAACCATTTCCATTCTTTTCTAAAAAGTTTGTTATCTTGACTTCTTACTTTTCTGGTAAGTTTTGCCATTTCTCCATATTCCATAAGTTTTTGTATCCATTCTTCTTTTGCTGGGATTTCTTCTTCTTTCCATTTTTGGGCAAGTAACATTCTTGCCCAAAATTTCTTATTTGCAATGGGAAGAAAGTTCCCATTTGAGTTTGGCTTTCTTGTAAATGTTTTCAGTTGTAAATCGCTCTCCTGATTTCAGCTAGTTGGAGGATTAGAGACATAGTTCATTGCAAGTTTGAATCAATCGCAAAAGATTGACAATGTACAATATACAATGGATTCACATCATCCTTTTCAAAGCACTCTTAGACCACTTTAAGCATCACAGCATCCCCCAAAGAATCTTGGGAACTGTAGTAATGCTGAAAGTTGTTAGGGGACCCCTCCCAGAGCCACAGTCCTTGACACTCTCAGCAAACTACAGTGCCCAGGTTTCTTGTAGGGGAAGCCATGGCTGTTAAAGTGCTACAAGAGTGCTTTAGATGGATGTAATCTGTTATTTTAAAAATCTGGTGCTTTTCCTTTATGGGGTTTCCAAGAGCCCATATAGAGTCCTTAAGTGGGTTCCCTATCAGTAGGAAAAAATAACAGAGGCCAACCAGAGAATACAATGGTACCTCGGGTTACAGACGCTTCAGGTTACAGATGCTTCAGGTTACAGATTCTGCTAACCCAGAAATTGTACCTCGGGTTAAGAACTTTGCTTCAGGATGAGAACAGAAATCGTGTGGCAGCGGCGGGGCAGCGGAGGGAGGCCCCATTAGCTAATGTGGTGCTTCAGGTTAAGAACAGTTTCAGGTTAAGAATGGACCTCCAGAACAAATTAAGTTCTTAACCCCAGGTACCACTGTACTGAGAAGCAAAGCAGCTAGTAAGCCTGATCTTTATTAAACTGTTGCAACAGGGTCTTCACTCACCACATGCAGGAGGGAGGAGGAACCCCGAACAATGGTGCGCAAACCCTTATATAGACATTTGAAATTGCCCACCTTATAGCTCAAGACCACCCCGCAATACAACATACATACATCACAGATTCTACAGCAGAATGCTGTCTGGCAGGAAACCTGTCAATGGGTTTACCTGGACAGCCTGGCCATTCTTTTCTAATGATAAATACTTAATTCCTGAGTCCAGGTCACAGGCTCACCCTATTCATACCCAGATGTGCCCTTAAGGCAGGATTTGTGAGCACAGAGACAATGGAGAGGCTTTCCTGTTTCCTTCCTTCCAGAGAAACATTTGAAGTCAATTTGGGAGTGTCAGCATAGTTTCAGGATTGTTCTCCTGTTCTATTTCAGACATGTGGTTTACATACTTACGTATGTGTTTGCCTTGTAAATTTTTAACTTTTAATTTATATATTTGAGACCTTAAATTCTTATAACAGATCAAAGAAAACTTATGGCTGAATTTGACTGACATGAATATGTGCTTGAATAACCTGTAGCGGGTTTAGCAGTTGTGTTGTGCGGAAACCTGCTATTTGCAACAGAGGAAATGCTTACATGCTTGTAAATAAGCAGATATTACACGCACCATAGTTCTCCTGTGCCCTCTCATCCAAAGTAAACTCAACTCTGTAACGCTGCCCCAGAACTCCTCTCAGCTTCAGGAATTCAAGAATGCTTATCAATACAAATCCCACCAAGACGCAAGGTTAAGGGAGTAGCTTGAATCGGTGTGTAACTGCTCGGAAAGAGCAGTAAAGACAGCAAGAACTCTGTAGCAAGAATCAAATTTGATTATACGCTGGCTTGAACTCTATATTCAGCAGAAATGTCCGATTCTTTCCTGACAAATTATCCAGTCAGCCTGGATCATATAAGAAGTAAGAAAGGAAACTTTCCTTTTTGGTTTCCTTTTCCTTAACTTCAAGGGTCCACACCAACATCTGGTACTTCATGGGCAACCAACATCGTGTCCTCCAGATGTTGAACCACTACTGCCATCAGTCCCAGCAGTCAGGGATGATGGGAGCTGTAG